AGATGTTGCTTCAAGCGCTGCTTCAACTGAGGTTGAAGCATCCCAGAATGGTATTGCTGGAGAATTTGAGAAAAGGTAAGAGCTTTCATCGGGGTCTGTCTTCGTTATCAGCGAGATGACCTTCATTCTATCCTTGTTATTACATACCGATTTAGTGAACTAGTTTCCAACAGTTATGGAAGTTATAATCTTATCACACATCTTTTTTTTCCGTAGCTTTCCTACCATTGAATAGCAAACTCCAGTCATCTCATTTTGACGATCTTTGAAAAGCATTTACCGCTGATATGTTGCTTACTATTTTTGCATAATAGTATCGTTGATGTTACAATGTGTGTGTGATTATGTGCAGAACGTGAGCTAAGTTTTGCGAAAAGAGCGGCTTGACAAAAAGCGTTTACTAAATTCTTGTTTACATACGTTTTCCGCTGCTGGTTCAACTGTTCCTCACCACTTTGTTTTTCTCTGTACCTTTAATCCAAAAAGGCTATTGAAAATGGTTTTTATGTTTTAAAGCACACCAATTGTGGAAGCATCATCCTTACCTGCAAAAGTGCCTATATTTGAAGCGGTCAATTACCCAACAATTCCACAACTATCTGAATCTACTATGAATTCTTCTTATACAAGTACCGTAGCACCACCGCGCTACGAGGCTATTTTGAAAAGCGATTCACAAAAGGTACCTGGTCTGCTTAATTCTAGAACTTCCAAGGTAATCTCTCCTTTATAGAGTAAACCTATCATTCACGAACCCCAAATTGCCGATGCCCCTCCTCTATATCCGTCATTATCCAAACTACACTACGAGAAGGATAAACATGGCCTTCTCACAGAGCAAAACCTACTTGCTTTCTACCACAATCCATTATATATGGCCAGCGAAGAATTTGTGGACAAATTTGTACAGGTAAGCATTGATCCACGCGTTCGCTTTTCTTTATATAAAAGCTATAACTCAATACAAGTTATTGTTTGCCGCCTAGCTGCTCTATTAGCTCGTTCACATTTTTGTGCTGATAAGACAATATTTATCTCAAAGCGCGCGTGAGTGAACAAAAATGAGTCATTCGAGCTGCTTGACTTTCAAATTATTTGCAGAACAATTTGATATCAGCTGGTCCACTTTTCCCGCTGTTGAAACGCTTGAAGAGGTTGAGTGAACAGATGGGCATCAGTGAAGTTTCTGAAAAGGAAAACACGGAAAATCTTACGAAGTGCCTCAGAGACTGCTGGGTTATGCAGCAGCAGACATTTGAAACTAAGGTGAGCTCATCGCTCTCTGTATTTTTTGACATGTATGTGTGATGCGTTTCATGAAAGTTAAGTTGATTTGTGCTCGTAGGATTGTGATTTAGCACTTAACATTCATCTAGCATGAGTCAGAATCACATATCTCTGGACGATCATACACAATCATGATAGGACACTCAGAGCTAGGGAGTATGGCCTTTTTTTGCTGGGAAGCGTGATTGAAGATTAAGTTTGCAAGAGCTGACATTTTTTCTTCAGTGGGCAAGCTTACAGCAATTTATGATCC